ACAACGATTCTTCAATTGAGTGTATAATAAGGTTATAGAGTACTTATCTTCTCGTCATAATACCATTACCAGGTACCCGATGGCTTGGTACTATATGCATGCACGTATATAAGTAAAGTTAGATTACTTGTCTTTTCATTGTAGTACCAGTTCCAATTTAGTCTGGTATTGCAAGTATGCAAGTATAGAAGCCGGCTTCTTAGTTGCATCCAACCTTATAGCGTATCTCGTCTATAGAGCATATAATTTGAATCCTCGCACCTTTAAAACGATTTGCCTAAAATGTAATTCTTCAAGAAGCCTTGCTCATAGTTTTATAACGCGTATTTAAAATATCGACAGTCGACAGTACTAGTAGTAATAAAAATAAATATATAAACCTTCTTGAAAGCATCCTGGACTGAATGCAATCTTCATGTTCTGTGTAACTGAGCAACCGTAACATCTTTCATTAGACAGAAAAAAAACAGGAAATAGGAGAGAGAGAGAGAGAGAGAGAGGAAGGAAGGAAGGAAGGAAGGAAGTGAAAGGAGACACTTCAGAGGGAAATATTTATTTCAAGTCCAGTCGAATACATAAGTGCTGCATCATAAAAAGGAACTTAAACCGTCATTCTGTATTCTCTGCATGTAATTTGATTAACAAAACCATTATTTTCTAGACTGCAAATCACATTCCTCTTAGCATAGTTCCCCTTTTGTCCTGGTGGGGTGTCGAAAACCATTTTATTGTACAGAAGCTCTTGGGTTCAAGTACCGGTGAACAAACCGCCGGGCTTAAAATATCTAAGGCCCCGTCCACACTATGTCGGATAAATTTGAATCCGCAAATTTCACACCGAAACCGAAAAAAAGGTTCGTCGTCCACATATGAAAACGGGTAAAATGTTTCGCATCCACACCAGTCCGATCAGAGGCGGCAAAAACGCTTCATGGCACATCTGCATGTCCCCGGCTAGCCGGCGTTTTCAAATAGTTCCACTCCGGAGACCGTATTCGAAAAAATCGTTTTCGGTGAAGAATGGTTCCGGATTCGCCCGGACTAGTGTGGACGGTAGGCCTAACCGGATAAATAAAAATTCTCATTTTATTTTATCCGGTATAGTGTTGACGGGGCCTAACTACAAGGTGGTGTTTTTGCTCTAAAATATCTGAAAAAAAGGTTGGAGAGCCTGTAGCTCAGATGACCACCTAAAACGCAGGTCCAATATCATAGAGGGCCACACTTCATCAGCCTTGACTGTTCTCTCGCTCTAAATAACGTTGCTTTATTATCGGGTATCATTATTTTTGACAACCACTGGCAACTGATAATATTGRCTCTTGGGTTAGCGCTTCCGCTTACTCTTGTGCAAAGCAGATTTCATTTCTCAAGATTATTGCATAAATGGTCACTAGGAATAGTCAGTACTTTGTTTGGTCAGTCGAGGTACTTTTGGGGAGGCCAGTGCAGTAAAAACAAACTAAATAAAATAAATGACTTTAAGGCAAAACTTTTCTAATATCTTTTAGTAAATCAAAGCCTTGCTTGTAAACTTCGATTGCCTTGACACCCACACAGGCATACCAACTGTTACCGGAGTTAAGGGCGACCTAGTCTACCTAGCAACATTGACCTACCAACCGTCATCAGTGTCGGTCCCAGATCCTACCTACCATTCACTTTTAGCGGTCGATACCAACTGGCCTTTTCGAGGTTGTGCGGTAAACTGGAAACTAAACGCGCGCTGAATCATATGTTTTAGGATACGCGTGTTTTTGTTTTGATTTATAGTTTTTAAAAATCAAAATCAAAAGTTGCGGATACCTGAATTATCAAGTTTACTACGCATCTAGATTATGAGTAAATGACGCCATTTACTCAATCCTATTGTTCTTTTCGCTTTTAAACCAACATTTCTCGGCTGCAAGTGGCTCCCACGCTTAACTTTTCACTAATCTGGTTTTCATAATCAAAACTGAGTCATATTATCTTCAAATACATCAAAAAAAGACTTTGAAAAAAAGTTTTAACCCAAGTTCCCCTTTAATCTAAAACAGCCCCAAGATTCAGTGCGCGTATTACTAGTTACCAGTTTTCCGCGCCACCTCGAAAAGGTCAATAATAATTGGCTGTGAAGGAGACCAAAGGAGACCAATAATAATCGAGAGGGGCATCGTTTCATAGGCCTTGGGCGTCTTTAATAATATTTTTATAACAGTCAGTATTTTTTTAAACCTTAGATAAGCAAAGGTCACGTGATCAATAATGATATAATAAGTACTTATTTTTACATATCTTCTTCTCGGTGGTAGACTTGTCTGTGTTTTGCCAGGATTCTCATGAGTGGTCGAATGCTCAGCCACCATTGATGGTCAGGAAGACGATGTCTGGTAAACAAAATTGACATAGTATAAGGGTCTATTAAATCCTGTATTCTGATTGGCTAAGCTGTAGGTCTATAGACCGTTTTCTCAAGGTTGCGTGCGCATACAAATTTAAGGAGCTTGACGGRCCACGATACCAGAACACGCATATAATCATGCATTGCTGTGAATTTTTTTCGATAAGAACTCATAAAATCGATTACTTTCCTCTTTAAATATAAGACTGTCTTTTCAATTTTACTGAGGCCCCGTCCACACGTATCCTGAAATTTTTCTATCCGCAATTTTTTTTTGCGGATACGGGTTGCGTCCACRCGTGCCCGGAAATTCTTGTATCCGTATCCGGAAATTTTCGAAAACGGTCTCCAGAGTGGAAATTTTCGAATACGCTCCGAATACGGATACGTGTGGACGGTCGTATCCGCAAATTTTCGAATACG